GCCTTTTATTTTCTCAAACAAAAATTGCAGCTAAGGTGTTACTTTTAGTTTTACGTTTAAAAATAACAGTTTACTATTGATCTAAATAACAACGACTAGTGTCGTGTTTATACAAACAAGCAGATGAAAAAGCGATTCAGTTTTTAACCGACTCCCGTAAGGAGGAAGGTTTTGAATTCGCCGGAATACTGTTTTTTTGTCGTGTGTTTATGTATGCTACCGCATAATTTTGGACCTTGTTCACAGATTTCTAAAATTTTAGTTTCTATTGTATGTCTGTTATCTGAAAAAAATACCGACTGAAAAAACAACGATATGTCATTGGCTTCTTTGAAAAAAAAAATTTACAGTTAGTTAATTACAGTTAATTTACAGTAAATTAAGAGTTTTTGATCAAAAATTAAGAGTTGAAATTTGGCGAACAATTTTTCGATCAAAGATACAAGTTCAGTCTTTTATTGTTTCGTTAAAAAATTACAGTTAATATTTGAATTTTATTTTCCGAGCGTAAACAACTGTTAATATTTGCCTTTTATTTTTTCAAACAAAAATTAAAGCTAAGGTGTTACTTTTATTTTTTCGATTACTATTGATCTAAATAACAACGACTAGTGTCTTGTTTATACAAACAAGCAGATGAAAAAGCGATTCAATTTTTAACCGACTCCCGTAAGGAGGAAGGTTTTGAATTCGCCGGAATACTGAATTTTTTGTCGTGTTTTTTGTGTATGCTACCGCATAATTTTGGACCTTGTTCACAGATTTCTAAAATTTTAGTTTCTATTGTATGTCTGTTGTCTGAAAAAATACCGACTGAAAAAAGAACGATATGTTGTTGGCTTTTTTGAAAAAAAAAAATACAGTGACCCGAACAAGTGCTACCGTGTTAAATTTTTTGTAAAATGCTTTTCAAGTTAATTTTTTTTTTTATTATTCTATGAAAAATATTGTCCAAGCTTTAACCAAAACTATTTAAAAATTAAGAAAAATTCAACAAAATTTCGGTCCTTTTTAATTTTTATGTGAAATGATTTTGCAGTTTTACAGCCCATACAATTTTAGTATAAAAAAGTGCAAGTTTCAACCGGCAAAAAAAAAGGTTTTAAAAAATTTACTGATGGATTTGCATAAAGTTTGAAACTTTGAGTTAGGTGGTTTTGGTCAAAGCTTGGGCAATTTTTTCATAGAAAAAAAAAACCAATCCGTTAACACTCGTTTCCGTCACTGTAAATCATTTAAGATTTATATTCCTTAGCTAACACGAATAAAAATTAAATTGACGAGCATAACACTGTTATATTTAATTACACTGGCCAACAAAATCTTGCGGCAGAGTCAATAAGAGCTGAATCCTATAGATTTTTGTAGGCAATTTGAATTAAAGGTGTCAAAAAACGAATTATTAGCATATTTTGAAACGTTTATAACATAAAAGGAATACATGATGGAATATTTTTAATAATATGTAAAGAAAGCTTAAAACCTGTTTTTTTATCCCGAAAGTTAAAAAAAAATTTATGGCAGTGTTTATTTTTTAAAAGTTTTTAAAATGCACAGGCAAGCAAAAAGGCGAACATTTCCGCATATTTCTTTCAAAATTTTAAAATAACTGAGAAAATGTCGTGTTATAGCTACTTGCTGCATATATTTTTTTAAACTTGTTTTTGTAACTTACGTTCGCAGTCTTACTTAAAAGATTTCATCAAACCCCGTTAATCTAATATACATACATAGATGTTTCAAATATACCAAAAATGAGTATTTTGGCACTTTAAAGTGAAAATGTCTCAAAAACTGGAGTCAATCTAATTTTTCTAATTTCAGATACTGATTCTACGGAAAAACACCTATGAGCATCAGCGTTTATATTCTATGCTGCAAACATTTTTTGAAATTTTGTTGGCCTGTGTTCTCATATAGACAAACTCTATCCGTCTGACTTCTTGAATTGAAATTTCGAAAATATGTACACTGCCGGAAAAAAGTATTGGCACAGCGAATTTTGCACAATTTATGCACCAATTTCTATTCTAATATTTTTCCGCGATTTTTTTTTTATAAAAATATGGTTCATAAAAAATGTTGCATATATTGTAAACAAGCCACTGTGCCAATACTTTTTGCCGGCAGAGTATATACTAACTGTCATGTATTTTAATGCAAATTTGAAAGTATTTGGCATTTTGGTAAATGTAGTCTAGGAATTTTTAGTAACACGAGTTTGATCAAAACCGCGAAATAAACAAAAATTAGAAGTGCGAGACGGCTGGTCGGTCCATCAGCGAAAACTGCTAAAACTAAAGATGAAAGATCTGCGGATTTGTAAATAGGTCTGTCCAAGGATATGATTTGCTTTATATGTATATGTACACATGTATGTATGTATGCATCTATGTATGCATGTAAACGACATATACTTTTTAGTTTGCCTAGCGAAATACGAGTAAATATATAGATTTGTACGTAATGGCTGATATTGCTACAATTACTTCTGCTGCTTTACGCCTGCATTTTACGATTGCTTCAAAACTTTTCCAATCGGTAAAAGGGTAGTTACCTATGTACATACATACATATCTACAAACATGTGTATGTATGTACAAAGTAGCTGTGTATGTCAACTGCAAATCTAGTTTTTCGCCATTCATCAGCGTATGAAAATTTTCTTTTTCATGTATTCTTAAGCAATTGATTTTTGTGATTTATTCGTTTAAAAAGTTTGCTGTCTATTTAATTAATTTATTTATTTTTCTCAAAAAGTAACTAATAAATATAAGTTCTAAATTTAAAATGTACATAACAAATGTTTATGTACTATGTATGTATGTATGTATGTACATACATATAAGTATGTACATATAAAATATTAATCATCCAAACAGTACATTTTATTATTTTAGTAGGCATTTACACTAAATTAAGTGGCATTAACTGTTTAACTGTAAAAAAACGCTTTTTCACTTACCGTAATCGCGCGGAATTGGTGCGCGCAGCGGTATTCGTGGACCACCTGGCAGGCGCATTGGCGTAGCTAAGGACATCATGTTGGGGTGTGTAGGCGACAAGTTTCTGTATGGAGATAATTGTTCATAGCTAGTATGAGTAACAAAATTTACATGGGCACACACACACAAACACATGGGTACAACGGACCGCGGGTTGCAGACCAGTGCAACAATACATATATGTATATGTATATACATTAGCAATAACAGTTGGTTTGTTTGCGGTTAATGTGTATTTTGTAGTTGGTTTTTGGTTATTTTGTTTGTTTATTATTTGTTTAACATTTTGGGGTATTTTGTTATATTTGTTGTTGTTGTTGTTCGTGTGGTTATTTTTCACATTATTATATATACATATGTGAACGCGCGCAAAAATTCAATTCAGTGAGTTTCATTGGATAATCGAGTGCGGAGTGAAAAAGAGAAAGAGAGAGAGAGAGAGAGAGAGAGATAATATAAAATTAATTAAAAAAATTGCAAATTGCATTTAAAAACAAATATGTACGAGTACAAACGGTTAAGGATGATGCACTGCTGCCACCACAAGTAGTGGCAGTGAATTTGGATTTCTTTTTTTGTTTTTTTTTTGTTTTGTCCGAAGCTGCCGCTAGCAATCGGGCAGCATAAAGCCGATATGCAAAGGGAAAATTCACAAAGGGTTAGTAAATTTTTGGAGATTTGAAATTTTTGAATTTTGACACGCCAATAGGGTGATAAATTAGTGTATAAATGACATATGCAAGGATGTAAAATAATTTCGATTATATGTATGTATTTTGTATATAGCGTGCATTTTGCCGTTTAGCTACACTTACCCGACCAGACCGGGACGTCCTTGCATCATTTGCATCATGCGACGTTCGCGAGCGCGTAGGATTTCCTCCTTCTTCTTCTTATCCGATGGTGGCTTGGCAAGCGACACCTGCAAACGCGAAGCATTCTAGTGAAAAGTTATGGTTGTTATTGATTTTTATACCCGAGCGCACTTATGCACAAGGGTAAAAGATAGATATAGACAAATGTATACATAAATGATCAGAATGAAAAGAGAAATCGATTAAGCGGTGTCTGTCCGTCCGTTCGTCTGTGCACACGATAACTCGAGTCAAAATTGAGATATCTTAACGAAATTTAGTACGTATACTTCTTTCGGACGTAGGACGAATGGTATTGAATGGTATGGACAAAATCGGACAATAACCACGCCTACCCCTCACATATAATGGTAGTTTTCAGAAATACGAAAACTGCGATATTTTAGTAAGTACTGAAGATTATTGGCTCAAAATTAATATTTTTACTATGCGTTTTAGAGGAAAAATTAGAAAATATAAATTTTTAGAAAATGGGCGTAGCCACGACCCTTGCCACCAATTTCTCGTAAACTTGGCACAGTGGTTGGTTGGCCTTAGTACAACATATAAAATGGCCAAAAATTTTTAAAATTGGACAATATCCACGCCCACATCCCATATAGCGGCAATTTAGAGAAATACGAAATCTTCGATAAATCTGTAAATATTAAAGCTAATTTATGAAAAATTGATGCTTACAATATTTTTTTACCTAAAAATACGTTTATGATAAAATTTTGGAAAATGTATATCGGTAACCGTTCTACCAATTTGTACCGAACTCGGTACAGTTATTGTGTTTGCCACATAAAAGCAAAGCGTTGAAAATTATTGAAATCGGACTAAAATTACGGGCACTTTGCATATAACGGCACATCTCATATATGCTTTAAACTTCGATAATTTGAAATTGAAGAACGCTAATTTACTCAAAAATGATACTAACAAAAATCCCTTAAAAAGGAAAAAAAATATTTGGAGTTTTCGAAAATGGGCGTGATACCGCCCACATATGACTATATAACTTTATCTCACTATGTCTAACTTAAGTTCTATCGAATATGTTTAAAACAGGGGTAACACCACCCCTGCTTACCATATAGCGGTAGATTTCGGGTATTTAATTTTCCGCTCCGACCGAACTTAGATTTTCTTACTTATTTTTTATTTTTTTTTTATCAATGCAAAAAGGAAAGTGACATAGAAATATTAGTAGCTTACCTCAATATTGGAAGCACCGATCTCTTTGCCATTGAGACCGCGCATTGCAATCACGGCGCTATCACGATCCTCGAAATGTACGAAGGCATAGTCTTTGATTTTCTTGACGCGTTCAACTTTGCCAAATTGCTCGAATTGCTCCTGAATTTCAAAAGGTTGGTTGGTTGGTTGGTTATGTGATATGTGAGATTCAAATAATAAAAACAAATCATAGGTAAATTCAAAACGAGTATCAATTACCTTTAATTTCTCCTCACTAACATCCTGTGTCAAATTTCTCACGTACAAGACTTTAACCTTTGACATTGTTTGCTCGTCTGGTTCCTCTTGCGGATCGGCCCAGTCGACAATGATATCACATCCCCAAACCTAAATGGAAAATTTCAATTGATTTCGTTATTAAGTTGGTTGGTAAATCATAGCTAAAATGGGGGAAAAAATATGCAGATATTTAATGTTTTTCATAGATTTGTATGAAAGAGGGTTCAACTGGCAATGGACGAAAAACAGTCATTCGCGGGCTTGCTGATCGAACGTACCAGCATTCGGCAAAATGCACTAAATATGATAGAGGTAAGGGTAAAAGTAAAGGAGTTTATATAGACCCATTCCGATTGGCCACTTTTCAATTTAATGATTTTTTGGCAGGCCACTAAAGAAGTCACAAGGTCGAAACCAGTTTCCCTCCAAAACAAATTTAACAGCGGACGAGGGAATTGCGTGCATCAACTTATTATGTTCGCTTTAGGCACCTAAATTTACTTGGGCGGGGCTTTTACTCCGATGACCAGAGAGACCTTTTTTACTCTAGTTTTGTTGCCCCTAAAAATGCATAAAAAGCTTTAACAAAACTTGGCATCCGTGCTTGTGAAATGGTCAGCTCTGACATAGAAGATCACAGAGTAAAAGCTCTCTATGACACTTATTTGGGCCAGTGATGGTTTGATGGAGCTTTTATTATGTGCACGTCCAAATAAAACGTAAAGGAAGCTTTGAAAAAGCTTACCCCCTGTGGTATGTCTTGGTTGCAACTGATTTAGTCGGTCATAGGATAAAAGCTCTCCCTGCTCATCGTTTCATATTGGACTAGAAGAGTGCCAATTAAAACCCGGAAATATGACGGATTACATGAACGTTCTAGCGTAATTGGGAATGCCTCATTGGGAAGGCACAGCTTCTAAAAACATATTTATTATGTCGGACAGTCAGAATAATTGCCTCAGAATCCTAAATTCTTTTGGAACCAAGATCACGGTATGACTATGATGAGTGCCAGGCCCTGGCGCTACGATGAAAATGAATAGGCGGGCAGCCTAGCAAATTAAGGAGATACCAAATCCATAAAAAGGAGGTCACAAACAAGTGGGTGAACAAAAAATTCTACAGACACTGCAGTAAACGTCCAGGGCAAAGAAAAGCTAAGCGGTTTATCTGGCCATCACAAGCAGTCCATAAATTTCAGCAGAGTTCTTCACGGGACATTGATCCCTGCGTTTTCAACTCAGTAAAATGAATATCTCAGACACGATCGTCTGCCGTTTATGTTAGCTGAATGAAGAAACGCCAGTACACATTATTTGTGTGTATATAAAGTTTTTCATTGAAAAGCAGAAGATAAGTGTTAACCTTGCATAACAACCGACCATAAATGGCTATAAAGCTCATGGCATTAATAGAAAGGACATATGTATGTATGTATGTATTTAAATAATTTACACAATTTTTTATTTTTAACGCAGATTCGGATTTTGCGCATAACTTTTATAACATAACTTTTATTTGAAGCTTTCTTCTCGGAAGTTTTCAACATTTACATGGTCTTCGAGCTTCAACTCCCCCTGCAGCCGGATTCCAACATTCGTTGTACCTAATTTTGATCGCTAAATATCTCCAAAGGAATAGCAGGCGCATCTAACTACATGCATCACCTAGTTACATACTCCTAATACTACCAGCTTTGGTTGATTTCACATTGCATATGTTACTTTTGTGTTGCGTGCTTTTAGGCCCCATTGATTTTCATTTAGAGAATTTTGGCGATGGAAACTTAACGTGGCGATTGTCAGAATTCCACTGCTGGACGTCTAAAATTGTCGAAAATGTTTTTGATAGAAAAGGAAAAAAAACACGAACCACCTAGTCGGGAACTCTCCATCTTTTGGTGATTACCGACTTCCAATTTCGACCGGAAACGGGCTAAACAGGCCGCAATTAAATTTTGAAAATATTTTAAAGAATTGTTCTCTTATGTGCACCTGTTCCCTCTCTGTCCATGCCCCGGTTTTGACGAGGTAAATGATGTTTAATAATATACATATTTTTTGTATGTAACTATTTTTGTTACTTCCGGTAAAAAAAAAACTATCTAAAAAAATCACAAGTTCGAATGTATATACAGTGGCACACATTACTATAAACGCACTCTTAATTTTAAGTTTGCTACCTTCACTCTCCTTTCTCAATGGATTACTCACAACAAATTTTAAGTCATTTATCAATCACTTACCAATGCTCAATTTAAGGCAAAAACCTATTTATTTTTTAAATCCCTTAATATGCTTTCGACTTCCTTGATCAGGTGCATTTAAACGTATATGTGTCGGGTTTTAGTTAAATATTTGCAGTACAATGACTTAAATATTACAACAATAATGAAAACTAATATTTCCATACATTATAAACTGCCGATAGTTTGACGAACAATATGAGCTAGAATTTATTGTGAATTATCCATTGAGAAAGGAGAGAGAAGGTAGCAATCTTAAAATTAAGAGTGCGTCTATAGGAATGTGTGCCACTGTACATACATACATACATACATCTACAATCTTCACTTACCTTAATTCTACCAGTACCAAGTCTTCGTTTTGCCAGCGATGCAGCTTTGTGTGACTCGTATTCGAGAAAGCAGAATCCACGATTTTTCTTCTTGTCATCTGGTGAACTGTAGATAATCACTTCAATAAGGCCAGCTAAGGTGTGCGGCGCACCAACAATAAAAAACATTCGAACAAATAACAAAAAAAAAGCCAAAAGTTAGTAAAAATTAAAAGTTGCTAAGTAAATTCAAAGAATTTAGTGGATAATTCGTGGAAATTCATTAAAAAATACAACAAATAACCCATATCATAACATATACATAATTAATATGTACGAGAGAGAGGGAGAGAGAGAGAGTAATAGTAGTAGCAATAAATACCGGCGTAATTCTTTAAGTTACTCTCCCAAGTCGCTTGTTCATTCAATTTATGAAGGACAAGAAAAATGCGCCAAAAATTGCAAAATTTCACATCACAAGCATTAAGCGGGCGCGCGCGTTGTTATGCAAAATAGTGAATTTTCACGCTTTTCGATTGGAATAATTGATATTTAGACCGACAATATTTGATTAAAATAATTTATATAAATTTTTTATATTTTTTATTTAGTGTTGTTATATAGTGAAAAACCAATGCCAAAATTCATTTGCTTTATTCTTATTTTTGGTTACATCTAAATTTCCGTTTTTTTTTAATCGTATTTACTACAAAACTTCAGTTATTAAACACCTAACAGCAAAACAAATAATAAGATCATAAAGGCACATCTAATCAAAAATTTGTGTCGATTTGTATGCCTGATAAAACTTTGGAGGTATACATAATACATATATATATATGTACATACAAATATATACTATTTTTTTTTGTAAACTTGTTTTAACATCCAGATCATAATAAGATTAACTTTTGTGTTATGGCGATTATGTGGATTTTCTTTAAAAAACTAGAGACACCAAGTGAAACCATAGTATTCTAAGAAAAAGCTATATATATATATATATATATATATATTTGATAAGTTTATATCGTATAAGAACATACATACATATGTATGTAATAAAACACCAATGAGACAAACTCCGATCAGTTGACCCCATCATAAGTTTTATATTATTGTAAGTTTACGAGTAGGTACATAGTATGTATGCTGGTATGTGTGTATTGAATATGCACGAGTATATTATTTATGTATGTAGTTTAATATAGTATATATTTAGTACGTATAAACAAGGAATCACACTTAGGCTTTTATGCAAAAAACTGGATATTTTTTAATTACACTAAAAGCTGAGAAATATGTTGCTTTTAATATTTTAGTTTAGTTGTTTTTGTTTATATAAAAAAAAAAATGGGTTCAAGTTCAGTAAAAAAATAATACAAAAATGAATTTAGCATCTTATGCGCGCACTTCACATGAAAGTAAATTTTGATTGCCAATCAATTGAGAGAATTTAGCTGAGATTCTCCAAAAAAAAAGGACATTTGTATGAATAAGTTTTTAATAGGAAAACAAAAAAACACATTTGACATGAGTAATATAAAAGGTTTATTTAGAACTACTAAAATCCGTCTGCTAGTCGATAGTCAAAGGTGTTTTCGAGGACTTTTTGTGGGGAAATACAACTTTTATGCCAAAAAAACATAAGTTGCTTTAAGTAGTTATATATGTATGCAGTATATGGAATTAAATATAGTATTTCTCCAGTCATTACCATTTCATACAAATAATTAAATTAAATGTAAAACAAGTTTATGCAATGGTCCGAATATTGTGAAAAGTCTGCTTATCCATTTATATACACAATGTATATATGTATGTAGTTATGTATCTAATTACAATTACGTATTTAGTTTCTATTTTTTTCTTCTAGCTTTTCTTAACATTATTCAGCTAATTATTTGAAATGCGTAGTATGCTGGCAATCGTTGGTGTGTAATCATTACAAATGCGAATTTCACTTGATTATCAAAATATGTTGACCTTAAATAGTCTTCTGATCCTGAATACTCGAATGATGTTAAAGTAACGCATAATAAACTTAAAGAAGGGGAGAAAGAGACAAATATAGAGAGATAGATAGATAGATAGATAGATAGAGAGAGAGAGAGTGATAGAAGGAGATAGAACTGAACAGTAACAAATGCCAAACACAAAGTTGTTGCACAATTTTTCTTTTGTAGCTGGACCATATTTTTTTGTTTCTTTTTTGCTATAAATCTAAATACATAGAATAGGTATAATCAAAATATTAGCGGCATCGAAAAATTGTTTGTACATGATGGTGATATGTGTACATATGTACAATCGCAACTCGACAGCGTTCGGTTTCTGGCGAAAATTATAGTATACTGTCTCAAGCCATTCGGGTTAATAAATTACGTAGTTTGTTTTTTAAATTAAAGTATGTTTATTTATTTATTTAGAAAATAAAAAGTTTGCAAACTTAAACAATTTTTTTTTTATCAAGTTGCGATTATAATTCATCAGTTTTTTCCTTTTTTAGGAAAAATTAAAAGTTTGCAAACTTAAACTATTTGTTTTTTTTTAATAAGTTGCGATTATAATTCATCAGTTTTTTCCCCTTTTTGAGGAATTTGGAGTGATGCAATTTCACATTTAAGCTCATAATTTTTATTAAGAATTACTTTGTATAAACATGCCTACATAGGTATGTACATATGTATGTATGCAGATTTTACAGACCCCTTAAGTACTTACTGTTGTTGGTCTCACAGACCACGACGAAATTTTCGATTAGTACTAATATTTGTAATAATTGCTGTAATTGTTATCAACATGTGATAAATTTTAAAAAAACTTCGAAAGTTCTATTTTTTTTTATTTCATTAAAAAAAGTTTTCGGTCAAACTATCTGCATTTCATCACCTTAATTCGCAAACGCCGTAACCAGGCCATTTTTTTTGGATTGTATCGGAGAAGCAAAAAACTGTAACTTCGTTGTTTTTGGTACTAGCACTTTAAAATACATATTGAAGGTGTACTTCTAATACCTCCTAGCAAAATTTGTTAAAAACGCAGTTTCGAAAATAGTGTTGGTTAGGGCCTCTGTGAATTAAGGTAACGCTAGTTATGGATATTTCTTTGCTTAGCAATAAAGTTTGTGTTTTTTCACATCAGTAGTTTTGCAAGTATTTTTTAAGCACAGTACTTAAGAGATGTGTATGTATGTGCATATGCACATCAATAGCTTAAGCCAGAGACCGTATCTACTGAGTATCCACTTTGTTTCAAAAATCAGAGGTTTTTAAAATGTTTATTAATATTTTTTATTTTATTTATTTTTTATCATACCAGCCAACCGTTACTTTTAATCCTTGCTCATTGAACGTGAAAATGTCGAATTAAATACGGCAAGTTACGAAAAATCTCGAAATGTCACTTTTGGTTAAAAAAACCCGCGGAATGCCGAGTAAATCTCAGGAAGTCCTCGAAATAACGAAGAAAATGTCGCATCTATCTGAGATACCAGGGACCATTTGATTTAGTTTTATAACAAAATATTTATTACCTTCTCTGCCATACGTAACAGATTCCATGAACCTAATAATCGTGCATATTTTTGTACCTGAGATTTGTAATAGAGGGCTGTCTGTGCAAATGGTTTTACTTTTACTGTACACTACTTCAGTAAATGCCGTAATGAAGCAAATTCACTTGCAATGAAACTCATGGCACATGGCTTGCTCACAATCAAAACAAATACTGTAGTGTCGCTGTTGGCAATCGTTACTGCAATGATAGAGGGTCTTTTGAATGAAAACTAAGCTTTTTTCTTAAAATGTGATATTTTTTACTCGATATCAAATATTTCAAATATTTTTCTGAGTGTTCAGAATTTAATACTTTAAAATGAGTCTTTCTTTCGTCATGAATATGATTCTGAGACCAAGCAAACAAACTGACTCATTTCGGACTCTTTTGGTGTCATAAATTCTGAGTTGAACAAAAGCTACAAAGTTCGTGTAGAAATAAAAGTTTATTAATAATCAGAATTATAAAGAATATTTGTTTTTAAGACTCAGACAATGTCGTATGTCAGACCATAATGTGACTCCTAACTTGGACTCGAATCGGCGTGCTTTTCTAAGAAGAGAAATACGCTCGTTTTTGAGCTCATAATGTGGGTTACAACTCAGAATTCTGAGACTTTTTTGACTCTAAATTGAGTCCGAATGTTTATAGGGGAGGAAGTGCAGTGAAGTATAGTGAAATTAGCAAATGTTTTGTTTGCACTTTCAAAACCATTTACGCAGCCCTCTAATTCGTAATGATTTGTTAGGTTCTGTACCTAGTTCCGCGCAATGGATTGTCGAGGTCAAAAAAACACGCCTTTCTCTATGGTGAGTACAAAACTTCTACCACGGGTGGGGGGTAGATATTTATGCAATTTAATTTAATTTCTAAGTTTATTGTTTTGTGAATGATAACTTTTTTTGGATGTCGTTTTTCAAGTATTTCCTTTTGTAAGCCTAAAAAAACTTTTAAAATAAATGAGTTGAATATGTCCCTGAATAGACTTTTAATTAAAACCCAAACCTTTCTTTACTAATTTGTACAATCTTGAAATATTTTACACTGGTCTTGTTACAGTAATTTTTGGTAAGCAGTTGAGGGTTAATAGTCAACAATGTTAAAAGCCAGGAAGTACTCTTCTTCTAACGGATCAATAATTTCGTGGTTTGGAAAATAAAGTGAACGCTACGACTTTAGGCTGCCATAACGCTTAGAACGTCTCGTAATTCTTAAGTCTGGGCTCCGCATTTTATTTTACCAGTCTTCGAGACCTTTTTTTTGGCCTGAAATTTAAGATTTTGATTTGAACAAACTAAATGCCACACAACGAGAAAATCCAAGAGATTTACAGATTAGGTGAAAATTACAGCAAAAGGATTAGTTACTGCAAAGAGGATATTTGAATGTTATCTCTTCCACGTATGTAGTTCAAACTTTTATATGAAATAAAAATGTCATTGAAATCCTAATGTTTGTTGATTTTTCAATTCTATTTTTTCAATGAGTTTAATGGCGCATTGAAAAAAGCGGTACGAAAATTGGTTCTCTATTTTATGTCTTTTTGATATCAAAATCTCGCCTAATTTCCATAGACCATTACAATTACAAAAAATTT